AGTGGCAGGTGTGGAGATTTAAAACCAGGCATCAAATCTCACTTTCTTTCCGTTGGAGTAGAAGGTGTGGATTGCCTTGCAATGACTACTCACCAGCTCTCCTCTCTTTCGGAACCCCGATTTTATCACGGCATGGCCTCTCCCCTGTGCTGTCACCCTCCAGAGGGCAGAGCAGAAGATGGAACGAGCCTGGGCCCCTGGCCACTCCAGAGCAACCCAGCCATGCCACACCAGTTGAACGTTGGTTGCTTCCTTTTATTTTTTCCTTTATTGATATATTTTTTGGAAAACAACTCTTGGGCTAAGTGGTTCTAGAGTTGTTAGGGTTCTTGAATCAAGAAGGAAATAACAATTAGAAGGCAAACTTTCCATTTCCTTCCAAATGGACACTGTAAATATTACAGAACCCAAATCCAATGGTTGTAACATGCAACAGGACCCACAACAGAGCTGGTTTACACAGCCTGCAGAGGAGCACCAAGCCAGAGGGCCCCTGAGTGTGAAAGGCCTAGAGCAGCCAGTGTGATAGCTTTGTTCCCAGGAGTGCAGGACAACCAAGAAAGCACTGTGGGACAGGCCCATGCTTCACCCTGCCCCCTTACTCATTTGCCCTACAAAGCTCATAGGCCCCTGCCAGATAGAAGCCCAGACAGCTCTGCCTCTCCCACTTTCCCACACTCAGTACTTCCTCCCACCCTAAAGCAGTTAATCCCAAAGTATAAATCCACAGCCACCATACTGTTACATCCCCACAAACTAAGACGTTCTTTGCCCCAATCTTTGTAGGAGGGTTTTTTTTTTTTAGGAGTTTTAATTTATTCATGAGAGATAGAGAGAGAGGTAGAGACATAGGCAGAGGGAGAAGCAGGCTTCCTACAGAGAGCCCAATATGGGACTCGATCCCAGGACCCCAGGATCACACCCTGGGCCAAAGGCAGATGCTCAACCACTGAGCCCCCGAGGTGCCCCTGTAGGAGGTTTTTTTTTTTTTTTAACAGTCAAGAAACTATCATGCTTTGCTGCTGACATTCTGCCACCTGGCTCCTGTACCTTTAACTCCTGTGCCTCTCCTCAATCAGCAGTCCATCCTCCTAGCCCTTCTAGTGCCCTCCTGATGGCAGGTGAGGCAGGAGGGTGTCTGATTGCCCAGGGCAGTGGCTGCAGATATAGAACTTTCTCTTTTCGGATGCTGGGATCCTTTATTCCTTCTCTTTTGTGTCCTTAGAGTTTTCTTTAAAAAAAAAAAAAGGTTTGCTTATTTGAGAGAGAGAGCATGCATGAGCTTGGGGGAGGGCAGTGGGAGAAGGAAAGAGAGGCTGAGGGAGTGGGAGAAGCAGACTCCCCACTAAGGGACTTGGGGCAGGGTGGGGGGGTGTCCTTGATCCCAGGATCCTGAGATCATGACCTGAGCCAAAACCAAGTGTTGGAGGCTTAACTGACTAAGCCACCCAGAGAGCCCTCCTTAGAATTTTCTATAACCTTCAAAGCTGTGCTCTGACTCTGGCCTTTGGGTATGGCCTGTGGTGGGCAGTTTCCCTGGCATCAGCAAAGGCCTTGACACAGTGTGGACTTCGGAGAGCACTTTGGATGAAACCCCATAAGCCTGTGGAAAAGTGGGTTAGCCCGGCTTACATAAGGACTATTTGGTACCACTTTAGTTTCTATTCCAATGTGGGAACAAACTTGTTCCTTAAAACCCTTCAGATCACGTGAGTGGTGTTGACTTGTGTTTATGTCAAAGCCGAAGCCTCAGGCTAATAGGACTCTATTAGAACTGATAGGACTCTGCTAATTCCTTGTATAAATATGGAATCTGCATCTTGGCCTTCCAGGTCAGGTTCTTGGATAGGACACCTGGAGCCTCTGTGTGCCTCTGAATTTTCTGGAACCGAATTTCTCTCTCTCTCTCTCTCTCTCTCTCTCTCTCTCTCTCATATCAAAGAGAACCAACAGCAAAGGCCATGTCTGGAAGCAATTTGAGTGGGGGAGGGGGGTCTTGAGGCCTGCCCAGACCTTTTTCCTTTGTTCAGCCTAGGGAATGGAGCCACGGCTGCCCACTTGGGGCTCTTCTGTATAATTGCCCCCAGAAATCTAACTTCTAGAAAAACAGTTAGTTTGCAATGTATTCCAGACTGTCTAAACAGATAATGATCAGAATCTGAGATGACTATTTTTCATTAAGGAAATATTTCAAGAGGGACTGGGGTACCAAAAGAGCTGAATGCTTGCCCCTGAGCCCCTGATGAGGAGTGAGAAGGAACTGTGACTGTGTATGTGACCAGAAGTCACATCAGATTTCTGCCACGATTGGCAAGCGTAGCTTATTCTTCCTGCGGCACCTGCTGTTCTCAGTTGGGATTGAGGTCCAGACTCTGGGCTCTTTTTCCACCCTGCCACCACTCAACACAAACCTACCCTGAGTGACTAACCAGCAAGCACCCCAGAGTAGCCTCGATAATGATGAGATGGGAGAGATGGGGGCCCATGCTTGCTGCTGCAGTACCAGCACCCCATTTGGACTTTTACATGAGAAATACATTTGTTTAAGCTGCTGTTGTTTTGGCCCTGTGGCTACATGAAGAGTCCTAGTATCATATATTTTAAAGCTACTGAAAGAGTAGATCTTAAATATTCTTTTTAAAAAAATATTTTATTTACTTATTCATGAGAGATAGAGAGAGAGGCAGAGACACAGACAGAAGGAGAAACAGGCTCCCTGCTGGGAGCCCGATGAGGGACTCAATCCCAGGACCTTGGGATCACACCCTGAGCCAAAGGCAGACACTCAACTGCTGAGCCACCCAAGCATCTCAATCTTAAATATTCTTATCATAAGAAAAAAAAATTGTCACTATGTGATGTAATGATGTTAACTAAATTTATTGTGGCAATCATTGTGCAATATATACACGTATCAAATCATTTTGTTGGGTGCCTTACACCTATACAGTGTTACAACTGGTATGTCCGTTGATATGTCAATTATATCTTAATAAAACTAAGAGAGTGGTGGGGGTAGTTCTGGCAAGCCTAGAAAGAAGCAGAAAAATTAGGTTCAAAGAAAGTGCTGGCAGTTCAGCAGCTATCTTGGAAGCCAGAAGGGAAGGCCCCAGGCAGCTTTCTCTCCACATCACTCTGGTGTGGACTATTTCCCTGTTTCTCTAGGCCTGTCTGCATCGTGGTCGTCCCACAGTTCAGCTTCCTGAGCTCCTCCAAAACTTCACCTTGGGAATGTATTTAACTAACTCTATCTGACCATCAAGCCTATGTGACCTTTGGGGGGCGGGGAGGACCAGCTACAGACTCCTGACTCTTAGTCCAAATTCTCAGTAGAGAGAAGTATTTTCTGAGCTTTGCACGGTGGCAATATCATGGCCAATATAGTTTATCCAAGTCACAATTATTGCTAACCGAAAAGTGTTCTCAGAACGTCTGGGTGGCTCAGTGGTTGAGCATCTGCCTTTGGCTCAGGGCGTGATCCCGGGATCCTGTGGGCTCCCCGCAGGGAGCCTACTTCTCCCTCTGCCTGTGTCTCTGCCTCTCTCTCTGTGTCTCTCGGGAATGAATAAATAAAATCCTTAAAAAAAAAAAAGTGTTCTCTGGCACAGCAGATTCCCCGCTTTTTAGTTAGGTGCTGGTTTAGTCATCCCTGGGATGGTAGGGAAACAGGCCCACAGCGGGTCATGAGAGGGGGCAGTTTCTCTAGGAACTGATTTGACATATCTACTTGAGAAGGGAGAAGGGACAGGTAATTCTAGAGAAGACAGTTTCATGGCTCCTCGCAAATCTCATTGGCTCCTTGGCAGCCCAAATCTCCTGTGTGAGTATTTCCTTTGTGGGGGCTCAGCTCAGATCAAGATCCTGGACTCCCAGGATCAGGATCCAGCCCCCCCCCCCCCAGTCAAGCTCCTTGTTCAGCAAGGAGTTTGCTTCTCCCTCTGCCTCTCCCCAACTCGTGTTTCCTATCACTCACTCTAATAAAAAAATAAATAAAATCTTTAAAAAAAAAAAAGAATATCTCCTTTGAATGAGCGGCTATAATCAGGTGTGCTGGGTGGGGTGACCTAGGGGAAGGCAGGCGGCCAGGATAGAGAGGTGAGCAGGCTGTTGGACTAGGGGCATAAACCCTATCACCCAGGATTAAAGCTAGGGAAATAAGGTTTCGCTGCCAAGTCCAAAGGTCAGGGGCAGAATGGAAAATCCGACACAAAGCCAAGGTCAGGAGTCAGCAGGACTAGATGCACAAGGAAACAGGCCAGGGAAGAAGACCAGGCCGTACGGGGTGGCCGCTGAGAAGGAGCTGGCGACGGGCCTCGCTTCACCGCGCTCCACTTCGGCTCCTGCACAGAAGGGCACAGCGAGGAGGGCCGGGCCCGCCCGGGCTGGAGCTCCGTCACCCACGCAAAGGAAGAGAAACCCGCGTTTCTTAACCCAAATCCGTAATCTCCGCGACACAAGATTCTGTGCATTCCTGCATTTTCCCCCCTGATTATTGTCAAAGGGAGCAGCGCCCCCAAGAGGGCTATTCTAAGGCTCTGAATCCGGTCACCCTGCAGGAGGATGGGCAGAGGTCTCGAGGGGCCGAAGGCCTCGGCTGCCTCGGAGGAGCAGAAGCCCCGGCCCGCGTGCCCCAGGGGCTCCCCCGGGAAGAAAGAGGAAGCTGCCAGCGGGCGGTGAAGCGGGGCCGCAGACGCCGAGCGGCGGATCAAGAGGAGGCGCTGCTCCCAAGGGGACGCGGACCGGCTCCGACAGGAACGTGAGGCTGCTCCGCTTGGTCGCACTGGGAAGATGAGCGTGTCCTCGCCCCTCCGGTGGGGTCCGTCGCGGCGGACCGCGGAGAGGCCGCCCGGGACCCAGCGCCGCGCCCCGGCCTCTGCCGAAACCCCGCCCCGGCCCTCGAGCGCGCACGCGCGCCCCGCAGACCCCGCCCCCGGGAGCCGCGCAGACCCCGCCCCTCGGGGGCCGTGGCGCGCCGGCGTGACGTGGCGCGTGCTGACGTCGGCGCATGCCGAGACGGAAGAGGCGCGGGCCGGGAAAGCAGTGGGCCGCGGGCGCGGCTGCTCCGTCCCCATGGCGCTGTGGCGCGGCTCTGCGTACGCCGGCTTCCTGGCGCTGGCGGTGGGCTGCGTCCTCCTGCTGGAGCCGCAGCTGCCCGGCTCGGCGCTGCGCTCGCTGTGGAGCTCGCTGCAGCTGGCGCCCGCGCCCCCGGGACCCGGCTCCCCTGAGGGCCGCTTGGCGGCCGCCTGGGACGCGCTCATCGTCCGGCCGGCCCGGCGTTGGCGCCGCGTGGCCGTGGGGTGAGTGCCTGCGGGGCCTGCGTCTCGCGGTCTCTGCAGGAGGCGCGGGCGCTCCGAGGGCAGCCGCGGCGGAGCCCGGGCGGCTGGGGGACGGGGAGGGAGAGCGGCGCGGAGACGGGGCTTCCCGGGCGCCCCCCGGGAGGCCCCTCGGCGCTGGCGTCCGCGCCGCCTCCTTGGCGGGAAGCGTCGGATGCCTGGGACCGGACCGGCCCGGCTCGTCACTGCAGCGAGGACTCCCCGGACGCCGCCGCCTCCCGCCTGGCTTCTCCGCAGCCGCGTCTCCTCCCGATGGGACCCGCCTGACAGCCTCTCGCGAACCCCGCGCAGCCCGACGCCCTCCAGCCGCTTCCATTCCTGTCTCGGCTCCTCCTCGGGCAGCTGCCTCTTTTGCGGTCAGACGCTTGGTCTTCCTTACACCGCTCTGCCGGCTCTCGCCCTCTTCTGAACTTGTCGAGCGCGCCACCGACTTTATCTCCCTCCCGCCCCCTTCCTTAGCACCGTGGTCGGTGCCGAGCGCGCTCGCTCCCGGCGCTCCCTGGGGACTTAGGCGTCGTTGGCCTCTCCCTCCAGCCCTCCGTGCGTGAAACATGCCCTCTTCTCCATGAAAGCCCTTTCCTCCTCCGCCTTCAGTGACATCGCTTATTGAGGGTCCCACCCCCCCACCCCCGCACCGCCAGTGCCTCCCTCCCTTCTTTGTATCCCTCTGCAGAAGTGTAATTGTCACCCTCGCACCGACTTTAAACCCAGTCTCGCTTCGACTTAAATAACTTAACCATCAACTCAGAAGCACCGTACCAAAAAAAAAAAAAAAAGGGCAGGCCTTCTGCGAAGTACTCTGCTAGTTTTTGTGAGTGCTGGGGCAAGGCTAAGGAAGAGCCAAGTTAGCCTGAAGATTAAGGGAGATAACGGCAGTCTTGCGTGGTGTCTTATGTAAAAGCATGCAAATGTCAGGAATTTTGTCCCCCCCCCTTCCCCCCCCCCTTTTTTTAAGATACTTTAAGTAATGTCTATACCCAGTGTGAGGCTCACACCCGATCCGCAGATCAAGAGTTGCATGCTCCAGGTGCTGAGCTGGGTGGGGACCCAATAGTGCTTTTTTTTTTCTCCTCCTAATCAGCCTATTGTTTCTTCCGATGTGTCTCCTTTACCTCTTTTTTCAAGTTCAGGCCCTTTCACTTCCTTATTAGAGTTTGTTTCTTTTCTCTTTCCTTCTTTCTTTTCTTTTCTTTTGAGAGAAAGAACAGGGGCACGGGGGGGGGGGGGCAGGCGGCAGACCCCACCATGGGGCTCCATCCCAAAACTCTGGGATCATGACCTGAGCTGAAATCGAGTCACACGCTTAACCGACTGAGCCCCCCAGGCGCCCCTCCTTATCAGTGTCTGAAGCATTCCCCCTGGCTTTACACACCTATCAGCGACTACGTAATACATGTCAGGTCTGTGCTAGGTTCTGAGGATGCAGAAATGGGTGAAACAAGGTCCCCACCCCAATTGATGAAACTAGATATATTCACTATTAGTGTTGGGGCGGACATGACAGGGTGCCACAGACTGGGTGGCTTAAACAACCTAAATTTTCTCACAGTTCTAGAGGCTGATAGTCTCAGATCAAGGGGAGGTGCTGGCAAGGTTGGTTTCCATTGAGTCCTCTTCCTGCCTTGCAGGTGTACCATATGGCCTTTTCTCTGGGTGCACACCCCTGATGTCTCTTCCTCTTATTATATGGACATTAGTTCTCTCGGATAATGGCTTCATTTAACCTTAGTTGTCTCCTTAAATAGTCCCTGTCTCCAAAAACAGACACATTTGTGGTTAGGGCTTCAATGTATGAATTGATGGGGGGATAGGGTCGCACCGTGCTGTTTACGACAATTGTGAAAAGTGCTTTGCAGAACTAGTGGTAAAAAAAAAAAAAAAAAGTAGTCTTGTGTTCCAAAAGATTGCTAATTCCTCCCAGGGTAAGGTTTTGGAAAAGCTCCGAGAAGGTGATGTTCCATTTACTGTTGCTACATCTACAAATCCCCCCAAAACTTGGTAGCTTAAAACATGGTTATTTGGTGTATTCTCATGATTCTGAGGCTCAATTAGGCTTTGCTAGGCAGTTCTGACTCAAGGTCTCCCGCAGTTTCAGTCAGATTGTGCCTGGGACTGGAATCCTCTTAAAGGTTGATTGTGGTTGTCTGCCACAGCTACGTAGCTTTCTCACAGCAGGGTAAGGAGACAGAATGTCCCTACAACCAGGCAGAAGCCTTAATGCCCTTTATGACCTAAACTTAAAAGCACATAGCATCACTTCCACCGCTGTCCTGGGTGCAGATGGTTTCAAGCAGATGGGACTCAGGACACACCTTGATGGGAGGAGTGTCTGTAAAGAGAACACGTGGGATGGAATATCTTGAGTCCATCCTGGAAAATATATTCTGCTATAATGATTTGCATGGTTTAGGTCCTGGAGAAGAAACGGAAAATGGGGTTTCTCCACCCAGGGGTAGGGGAGTAACTCCACTTGGGCAGAGAGAACCAAATGTGAGGTACATAGTTTAGAAAGAGCAAGTTGCGCCTGTGTTGAGGGCAAGGAACTTCTGGTAGAGAGGGACCTTTTATACCAAGTGGTGGGAAAGCAGTGAAAGTAGGTAAATGAGGCTAAGATCTTTCTGAGAATAACTAGTGGGGATGTAAAGGGTGGGTTTTGAGCAGTGGTTCTGTTTGACGGTTTCACATCATTTGTGTGGGTACCAGACAGACATTGGTAACATTTTTCATTACCCAAAGGGATTTTCAGCCTAAAGATGGGGTTGTGCAAAGAGGTAGTTGAGAGCAGTGGCAGTACTTGTACCAGAAGTTCATCTGGGGGAGGAGGTGTCGTGGTTTGAGTTCTCGGTAGAACACGCACACATATATTCATTTGCACTCTCACAGTATACAATTTAATGTGGTCCATAAGGAGGAAAGTCTTGGGATCCTGACCCTAGTTAAGAGGTCATTTTAGGATCTGGGAGAAGGGAGAAAAGAGCCTTTTTTCATCGGCAGTAGTGCCAAGTGTGAGATTTGCTAATAGGTTGAATGTGGTAAAGAAAGGCAGTCCAAAATAGCAAGTTTTTTAGCATCGAGTAACAGCTAACAACCTTAAGTAGGTAGATACAGATATTGTCATCCAGTTTTTACAGATAAGCACACCAGAGCTTAGAAATATTGATTGGCCCAAAATTACCCAGCTGTCAAATACCAGAGGCACAAGGTAAGCCTGTTCCTGTCTCCATGTTCATGCCACATTGTTGCCATAAGAGAGATTAAGAAAAAGGAACAAGTTTGTGTTGGAAGATAACAGGTTGGATTTCAGAGAAGGAGCAGTGCACTTGCTTATGGGATTTCAAATGAAGCTGAGCCATCAGCTGACAGGCCAAAGCTTAGGAGCATATTGAGGAGCAGTCTTGCAGGCTCTGAAGATGCCAGTAGTTAAGTTGAGGTCAGAGACTCTATGGGATTATCCCGGGAGAGAACAAGAAAGGGAGATAAATGGCAAGGGTGGAATTCTGGGAGGCACCAGCGTAGGAGCTGGTGGAAAGGACCCAGAGGAATAAAGGATGCAAGCCCACTACCACGTCTTTCTAAAATGTACCACCTCCCCGGCCTCAAAATTGGACTCTGGTGCCAAAGACTCATTGGGTAAATGATAAACCTAGTGTTCATTCCTGGCTTCACCCTGACGTTTGACACCTATCTCACTCTATTCCTCTGTTCAACTCTCCATTCTAACTAGATCAACATTCTTATTGTATCCATACAGAGTTAATCCCTTCATCTGCATCTTTGCTTGTGCATGCTCCCAGTGAGGGCTTCAGTATCAGATAAATCTGGGTTTGATTTTAGGCTCCTGTAGCTGTGGCCTTTGCCATGGTAGTCAGCCTTCAACCTCAACTTTTCTCAGCTCTAAGCATTGTGACCACTTCTCTATCTTACCACGTTTTTTTTTATAAATTGGTGTGGTCTGTCTGAAAGTGCCTGCTTTACATGCAGTGCTTCATATACCAGCCTTCTTTCTCTGTCCAGAGCAGCATCCGGAGCTCAGTCCAGAGACCACTGCCCCTACCCGTCTTGATTTCTCTTCTCTGCAGTTCTGCATCTTATGGTGATGATGATTACCTGTTGTAGTATCTCAGGTATAGTGTTAAAGCTAGGAAGAACCTAAGGAAACATTTTACAGGTAATGAAACAAGTGAGGTGATGAGAACCACCATCCTTGCCTTTAAAGAACTTGCAGTCTAGGGAGCACATGGGTGGCTCAGTCAGTTAAGCGTCTGCCATCAGCTCAGGTCAGAATCCCGGGGTTTTGGGATTGAGCCCCGAATCAGGCTCCCTGCTCAGTGGGGAGCCTCTCTCTCAAATAAATAAATAAAATCTTAAAAAAAAAAAAGATGGGATGCCTATGTGGCTCAGCAGTTTGGTGCCTGCCTTCAGCCTATGTCGTGATCCTGGAGTCCCAGGATCAAGTCCCACATCAGGCTCCCTGCATGGAGCCTGCTTCTCCCTCTGCCTGTGTCTGCCCCCTCCCTTCTCATGAATAAATAAATCTTAAAAAAAAAAACAAAAACAAACTTGGAGTCTAGAAGGGGAACTGCGCCTCCTTCTCCCACCCCACCCCCCCAAGAGTAGGGGGGTGAAGGCCTGGCAGTAGGCCTGAAAGCCCATTCTAGCCCTTCCTCTTATTTGGACATTCAGCATCTGTTGCCTTGCTTTGTTTTCCAGTTATTTCATCTGTGTCTCTATTTTTCTCCAAACTCACATTATAGTCCTTTATACATTTCTTACTCAACTCTGAAATTCTGCCTAAAGTCAAATGAGCATAATTTTTGTCTTCTGGTTCTTTTGCTCCCTCCCTTCTTTTAATTCCCTGGATAATAAAGCACCGTAGGTAATGTGCTTGTTTACATTTTTGGATGCTGTTGAATTGAGGTAAGTGCAGAGGAAGTTTCTTGCTCTGGTTAAAGTATAACTAGAAAGCACATGGAGAAGTACTTAGTTTGGTATCTGGCACATAGAGGTTCAATTATCTTTATTATTGAAAGCAACTGAATACATTTTTTTCCTTTGTAAGTCTTTTTCTTGATGTGATGAAGGAAGGGTGGAAAATATTCCTATTGTAGTTACATTTTTTACTCAAAATTAGTTCTGTTGGGCTTTGTGTTGTGTTACGACATATGCTGAACATTGCTTCTTTTGGTTTTGCTCCTTTTTTTTTTTTTTGTAACTTTTGCAAACTTCTCCATTCTCATCTTTAAAGAATCAGACCCTGTTCAGGGTCTCAGTGTATCACTGGAATTGAAGGTGATATGTTCGTGCAAGCCACTGTTTTCAAATGTGGGAATCCCTCAGCGTCTGAACTTTTGCTCTCCAGGATCAGGACCCAAATCCACTAGGAGACATTTTCCAGATAGGGCTGTTTGGTGGAAATAGTATCACTCACTGTCCAAACTTGCACATGTCTGAAACTAGGGAATCTACTTATTTCTGAGAACCAGGGAGAGTATTTCTATTAAGAGTCTACCCTTTGGGGCAGCCCCCATGGCGCAGCGGTTTGGTGCCGCCTGCGGCCCAGGGCATGATCCTGGGGACCCTGAATCGAGTCCCACGTCAGGCTCTCTGTATGATGCCTGCTTCTCCCTCTGCCTGTGTCTCTGCCTCTCTCTCTCTCTCTCTGTGTCTCTATAAATTAAAAAAAAAAAAAGAGTCTACCCTTTGGACATCTAATGTTGCATCCAGTAGAAATAAAGAACGCCCTGTATGTGGTGGAATTGAGACCAGTTTTATAAGGTGTACTTGGTTTATGTGGGGCTGTGAAAGGAATATGTTTTACATATTAAGCACCTGTCACGTGAATGTCTGTGTTTTATGCACAGAAAAGCATAGTAACTCTTAGGTTATACTTTTCCAGTTGACCAGAGTATGTATGTATCTTTGTTTTAAAAGAATAAGAAAATTTGAGTATTTAAATGCTGTTTGGGGGGATCCCTGGGTGGCGCAGCGGTTTAGCGCCTGCCTTTGGCCCAGGGTGCGATCCTGGAGACCCGGGATCGAATCCCACGTCGGGCTCCTGGTGCATGGAGCTTGCTTCTCCCTCTGCCTGTGTCTCTGCCTCTCTCTCTCTCTCTCACTGTGTGCCTATCATAAATAAAAAAAAAAAATTAAATGCTGTTTGGTAGGTAAAAATCTTTTTAAAAGCATGGGATCCATAGAGGAAAAATTAAAGAATCCTTATGATGGGGGTGCAGTCAGCCTGTGTCACTAGGAGAGATGGGTCTCTTCCTTGCCCTTGTAAACTTTGCTTGAGTGAGATCAGTGATGACTAGCCTCCATTCGAACCTCTTAAAAATTGTTTTTTTATGACAAAAGTAATATATGCCTATAAAAATCAGAAATATATCTAGTGAAAAATAAAATTTCTCTCCTTTACTCAGTCTCCTTCCTCTTAGAGTTTACCACCATTAATGAATTAGTATTGTCTTAATTCCCAGATCAAGAGGGTTTTTTTCTTTTTAAGAAACTAGAAAGGAAACATTGTAGCTATATTCTACACTAGTATCTAGTCCTTTGGGCCTTCTCTATTGATGAGTATACTGTCTACTTTTACAACTGCTCCAAATTACCCTGGAAGCCCAGCCACCCTTATCACCTGGAACTATTTTTTTAGCCTGCTGTGAGCCTTGGCCTTCTCAGAGGCTTCGAGCTGCCTGTGTGGTCATCTAGCCCCATTGGCAAGAATGACATCCCCAGAAGATAGAGGCAGAAACAAAAGGGAGTGTGAGGTGGGGGGCAGGAAGTCCTCTTCTAGCTACCCAAATCATTTAACCGTTCTCTTTTAAGGGATGATTTTTATTTAGCAAAGTAACATTACAAATATAAGCCAGAACTTTTCTGTGCAGACCATAGAGAAGCCATGCCAGGCAACCATAGTGCTTTATTATTTGGTTCCTTGGAGCCATCCAGATAATGCAGTATTGGCTTCTTACAAAACTTTTAAAGGTCATGGATTTGCCCAGTGAACACCTGCCAAGTGATGAACTGTTATAAGACTGCAAGTGTGTGCCTCAGTTTTAAGGCACCACAACTCTTGAAGAGTTTCAGCTAGGAGTATTTAGACATTAGGTATTTAGTGTATCTTACCACCATCCTAAGGAAAGGTATCTGATACTTGGCTTTTGACCAAAACTTCTGTTTTGCTTGCTTTCCACCAAGCAGTGTTCCTAAACATATATTAACTTAATCTTCAAAACAGCTCTGGATTAGACACCTATGTAACAGCATTTTGTAAGTGAGAACATTGAGACCCGGAAGTTAAAGTGACTTGCTCAAGTCACAAACCCAGTATGAATCCAGACAGTTTGGCTCTGCCAACATTTTCTCAGAAATGCTGTATTTGTATTATTGAGATAGCTTTGTTCCAAAATGCTGAGCACCTGTCTTTTCAACTAGTGTAAAAGTTTGCCATCCTATTGGAAAGATTCCTGTGTTCTGATTCTAATAAGACATTTGTCCAGATAAAGGAATCTTCCTTCTGCCACATGCTGTTTATTTCCCAGTTGAGGTTTCAAATCCACTTCGTTAGTTTTTCTGTTTGAATACAGTTCCTGGAAACATTTCTGTGTTGTTAATGCAAAGTATCTGCCTTCGTGCCTCTCCTTTTTTCTTTCACACTGTCTCTTTGCTTCTTCTTTCCAGAGTCAATGCCTGTGTGGATGTAGTGCTCTCAGGGGTGAAGCTCTTGCAGGCGCTTGGCCTGAATCCTGGGAATGGGAAGGATCACAGCATTCTGCATTCGCGGACTGATCTGGAGGAAGCCTTCGTTCACTTCATGGGGAAGGGAGCTGCAGCCGAGCGCTTCTTCAGCGATAAGGAAGCTTTCCAGGACATTGCCCAGATGGCATCCGAGCTCCCAGGAGCCCAGGTCTGTTTGGTTCGCCAGCAGTGAATTAAGATAAGGTGGGGAAAGATAGCGTTTTGTAAGGGTCCTAAAGCAACCAAACAACTTTTCCTCTAGTCTTTCTGGAGGGTGGTTGTTGGGAATTCCTTTTCTGGTTTCCCTTTCTGTAAAGCTGTGTATCTGAACTTCCATTAACTCTGCTGTTTCTAGTCAGTTCAGTTCAGCCAACATTGATGAAGTATAGTGACTGAAATTTTGGTTCATCCATTAAATTGCTCTTTCTTCATATTACCCAAGCTTAAGGTAAAGATGCCTCCTCCTATTTGGATATTGCTTGTGGCTAATAACATGGAATAATCATAATATGGCTGAGTCCTTCCTGAGCAAGAGAAAAAGGCCAGACACACAGCACTGGTTGTAACTTTGGCATGGACAAGGGGGGCATGGATCCTCACCTCTGCTTGAGTGATCCAGAGCCAGGTTCCTTACCTCAGCGTTACTGATGCATTGGGTTGGAGAATTCTTTGTTGTAGGGGCTGTCCTGCACGTTGTAAGATGTTCAGCAGCATCTCTGGCATCTACCCACTGGATGACAGGCAGTAGCACTCCCATCCTCCCCTAGTTGAGATAGTTAAAAATGTCTCCAGACATGGTCACCTGTTTCCAGAGTTGGGGAGAGTTTAGGGAAGCAAAATCGCATTGGTTGAGAAGCACTGGTCTAGATCAGTGGTTCTCAGACCTGAAACACAGAATCACTTGGAGAGGTTATTGAAACAACTGCTCTTAGAGTTTCTGATTCGGTAGGTGCAGGCTGGGACCCAGGAATTCACTATCCTTCTGGGAAGTTTCCTTGATGCTCTTGTTCTGATAACCCTGTTTTGAGAACTCCTCGCCTACAGGGTGGAACCTGTCAGAGATGGACAGAATTTAGGGGTCCCCAGGCTCATATGATCATAAAGCCTTGGGGTCCACGTGGTCCAGATACTTTCTTGAGGTTCATGAAGCAAGAGGCAGAGCTGGGCCTGCAGACCCAGGCTCTCACCCTAGCATACCTACTGCTACACATGCCCTCATGCCTCTTGCGGCTGGATTTTGATTGTTTATTTCAGCATCCCTCTACCCCTCAGTTCTTTTTACTCACCTAAATCCTTGCTTTGGCTAGTCTTCTCAGTCTGGATGTGATTCTTGCTAGAGAGTTCCTGGGTTTTTTTGGTTTTATTTATTCATTCATTCATTCATTCATTCGAGACTTAGAGAAAGAGGCAGAGACATAGGCAGAGGGAGAAGCAGGCTCCCCACGGGAAGCCGGATGCAAGTCCTGGGACTCCAGGATCACACCCTGGGCTGAAGGCAGGTGCTCAACATTGAGCCACCCAGGCATTCCACTCGGGGAGTTCTTTTAATGCTATTTTTAATTGGTACCTTTCACAGGCCATCCTTTATGACCACTTTTATTTTGAGAACATTTAAGGTTTTAAAGTTCTTTTTTCTTTTGAAGCTTCCCATTTGAACATTAGAAGTAGGCATGGGCGTTACCCAGCTGAGTTTGTAAAGCAGACAACAAGCTTTTAAGATGTCAGCTGCAATCATTTTTATAGCTGAGCTGAGATTCTGATCTCTTATGAAAGAATCTGGGTAGTTCTAACATGATGACTAGTCGCTGCAAAAAGTCTTTATGGTCATAGTATTTGAACCACTAATTCAATTTCTATTCTTTTCTGCCTTGATCCTGCCTTTTGTTTCATAATGCAAAAAAAAAAGTTTTTTTGTATAAAAACTTTACCCAGCTTTTTTGATTGTCCAAGTTATTTCTTAAAATTATGAGTCCTAAAATGTACTTCCTTACCTTCCTCCAGGGTGACACTTCACTTGGTGTTTTTTCAAACTCCCTTAAACCATAAGCAGATTCATAAAACAGTCATTAATAACTATTACATGAGGGCAGCCTGGGTGGCTTAATGGTTTAGCACGGCCTTCAGCCCAGGTGTGATCCTGGGGTCCCGGGATCGAGTCCTACGTGGGGCTCCCTGCATGGAGCCTGCTTCTCCCTTTACCTGTGTCTCTGTTTCTCTCTCTCTCTCTCCCTGTGTCTCTCATGAATAAATAAATAAAATCTTAAAAAAAAACCCATTACATGAAAAATTTAAAATCCACTTCATAGAATCTTAATATTTTCCCCTAAGATTTTTAGTAAATTCTTCTGGCCATCATGGGCAAATAAAAATTCATGCTAACATGAAAAGACCAAAGTTTAGCCTATATATCACAGAAAGCTTTAAATTTACCTATAGAAAGCTGTAACTGTTTACCTGATTCTGGACTTTGGTGAACACAAAGCTTAGGATGAAAGCAAGGTCTAGAATCTAGAATTGAATTGTTTAGTCTGTGCCTCTCCATACTGCCAAGGACTGGAAGGTGAGGTGCTGGCATCCCATCCGGGTAGGAGTCTTGATTAGGCTTCTCAGTTTTCACAATAGAGCATCAGCCTTATCTCCTGCTTGTCAGGTGTCCAGAGCACATGGATCCATCCTTAGTCAGCAACATGGAATACCAGCCTTGAGTCATCTCTCTCTCAAGGACCAGATCTGCTGCTAAGAGAGGTGGTATTTAGGAAATATTATTCTATGTTAGGGCCCTTTACCCTTAGACTTGCTCTCAGGAAACCCTTTATATTTTCTAACACCTCTTTCTCGAAATCTAGCAACAAACATTGCTAGATTTAAACTGAGCATTTACTATAAGAAGACAGCCGGTCCTGTCCTGAGGGAGCTAGTCTTGCACCCTGATGACAGTAGCTCAAGTGGGTAGGCCTCTAGCGGAGGTTTGGTATAGGGGTAGCAAGGGATCTGTATTCCTGTCTGGGAGGGGCGCTGTAGAGGCTGAGGTGGCAGTGAGGTAAGGGGACAGCAAGCCTGGCAGAAGAGGTGAGTGCAACTGATTCTTGAGAAGTAATTGGGGATTTTCCAGTGCGTGAGAAAAGACAGGCATCCTGAGCAGAGGAATAGCATGTGCTAAAAGCACAAAGAGAAAGGCAGGCTCAGAGAGCTGCCAGCATGGTGTGGGAGGGAAGCACAGGAGAGGAAGGTAGAAGGGAGGGGAGATAAGGAAAGACCTATGTGCCTCACTTTTGGGTTGGATTTTAGTTCATTGTGGTATCGATTGAATGATTTTTAGGAGGACAGTGACGCAGTCATACACTCATTTTAGTAGGACTGTGGCATAGAAGATAAGATCTGCCCACGTTTTTCATGTTTCCTTTATCTGTCCTGGCTTCCTGGAAGCTCAAGGCCAGGTTTGATCTACAGTTAAGACTGTTAGACTAATTTTCATGGTTCGTGTATTTGGTTTTTTTCACCTCTGCTTATAATTCATTGTAAACCTAGGAGGTTAACAATTTTATTAACCTCATCTATGTGTCATTGTTGTAAACCAACCACAAATTTTTTTTGGAAAAAAAGACTATAAATTCAATAAACTAAAAAATTGCTAAGCTTGGGTAACATGGTTTGCTAAAATACTGTCTAATAACCTTGAACTATCTTACAGCACTATGTAGGAGGAAATGCAGCTTTAATTGGACAGAAATTTGCAGCCAACTCAGAGTTAAAGGTAGGTCAAATTCCCAAATTAAAACCTGTATCTTTCAGTAGTGTTTCAATAATTTTAGGAGCAAGAATGAATATTCATCTTATGGACCACCTAGTATGTTCCAGACCTTAGGTCTCTTGTTAGGAGCCAGTATAGTAATAGTGAGACCGGAATAATAGCTAATGCTTCTTTAGTGCTTACTGTGTGCTGGACGGTGCTTTATATAGATAATCTCAGTTCTAACAACAGCTGAGGCTAGTTGGTGCTGTGGTTGGTACTCCACGTGGAGCTTGAATCATAGAGGTTCACAATTAATCAGAAATGGAACTATTCTAACCTAGGACTCTAGTGCCCACATTCTTAAATACTTTATCACATGATGGTTAAGAGGCTTTGGGCTCTGGAATCCGTACCCAGGACTGGGGAACACACAATGATGGGAAAAAACATACTTTGCTGTGTTGATGAGCCTGAATCCAGAGTGTTGGAAATGAAGGCCTCTAGATAGAGGTCAGTAGAGCGGTGTCTTCAAGTCTTAAATCATTTGGTTTAAACAGAATTGAAAATGACTGCTATGTTCAAAATGACATGTGACTAAGAAGGTGCTCTGCTATGAGTTAAGTAGGTCTGAGAGGAGGAAGCCAGCAAGGAGTCCAACTGTAAAATGATTAAGGTTTGGATTAGAGCAGCCAGAAGGGGAGAAACATGTATCTAAAGCCTACTAAAAATGGACTCACTTCAGGTGTTATTAGGTGGCTCAGTCGTTTGAGCGTTTTGACTCAGTTTCCACTTAGGTCATGATCTCAGGGTCATGGGATTGAGCCCCACGTTGGGCTCCATGCTGGGTGTGGAGCCTGCTTAGATTCTCTCTCCCCCTCCCCCCCTTCCCTCCTGTGTGTGTGCAGTCTCCTCTTGCTCCCTCTCTCTCTAAATAAATAAATAAATAAATAAATAAATAAATAATAATAACTAAATAAATAAATAAATTGAAATCACTTGGTACTAGACCGTATGTGAGGACAAAGAAGATAGGCTTGACAAAGATGATTCCAGAGTAAACAAACTTGAGAACTGCAGAATAGATGTGGCTACTGGTAACAGATGGGGGAAACCATGAATGGTCCTCAGGTTTGAGGGAACCAGCCTGAAAATAAAAATACGGGTCAGGGACACAGAATCAAAACCCTACAGATACCCTGAAATACAGATAATCAGCTGTAAGGGAAAAAACACATAAGGAGCCACACTGTACATCCAAGAGATGGATGTGCATAGGTGTAGAAAGTATATTAAAGTATGAATGTTGGCATTTTAATAAGAATTAAAGTTTTCATGAGATATTAGGGTGGAAAATAGAGATTTTTTTTTTTTTTTTGCAGCCACTGTGTTTATAGGTGGTAATTAACTCCCAAGTAGAGATTAGAAATTCAGGGCTGACTTTCAGAAATACCACTGGTTAATGAATAGAAAAGAAGATCAGTTTGAAGCTCATTGGAGCCCAGGCTCTTGCCATCAGAATCCTGGTCCCCAAAAGGCCATTTCTCATGACCCTGAGAGGTAATTCTGGCCTCTGAGAGGACAACACCCTAGAAGTCCTAGGTGAATATAAGATTTACCTTTCAATATTGACCTCTTCAGAGGCCAGCATTTGCTATTGGTTTCTTGAAAGGCTGGGCCTATAGCCAGTCCCAATTGGAAGGCATCCTGGTAAAATAAGTCCGGCCTTTGTAGGAATTTGAGGAAAGAAAAGGGATATATCTACACAATCCTTTCAACAATCTGAAGAAGTAAGGTATTATCACCCTTTTACTTTATTTTATTTTATTTTTTAAAGATTTTATTTATTTATTCATAGAGACAGAGAGAGAGAGGCAGAGACACAGGCAGAGGGAGAAGCAGGCACCACACAGAGAGCCCGATGTAGGACTCAATCCCAGGTCTCCGGAATCACGCCCTGGGCTGCAGGCGGCACTAAACCACTGTGCCACCGGGGCTGCCCCTATTATCACCCTTTTAAACATGAGTAAAGAGGTCCAGAGAGGTTAAGTAGTGTGCCCCAGGACACATAGCCAGGAAATGATTGAGCCAGGATTCAAACTTCGGCTGTGCCATGGCCTCGCCACCCCATACTGCTCTATTAGTTTAATCTGTTGAAATGCTTCTCTCTACACGGACAGAGTGATTATCTGAGAACAGCCAGAGATTAAGGACTAGATATTTTCCAAACATAATAATAAAAATAGGGATCCCTGGGTGGCGCAGCGGTTTGGCGCCTGCCTTTGGCCCAGGGCGCGATCCTGGAGAACCAGGATCGAATCCCACGTCGGGCTCCTGGTGCATGGAGCCTGCTTCTCCCTCTGCCTGTGTCTCTGCCTCTCTCTCTCTCTCTATGTGACTATCATAAAAAAAAAAACAAACAAACAAAACCTTATTTAATAAATAAACAAACAAACAAATAAATAAATAAATAAATAAAAATAATAGTTAACACTTATATAGCTCTTACTATACGTCAGGCACTGTTTTTAGTGGTTTGCATATGTTAATGTATTTAATCTTATAATGCCCTATAAGAGAAGTCTATTATTATCCTCATTTTGTAGATAGGAAAAATGAGGCACGAGAGAAGTTAGAACTGTTCAAGGTCATATACCTAGTAAGGAGTAGAGCTCAGAGTCCACATTTTTAATGGCCATGCTATATTGTATCTCAGAAGTCGACCCTGGTGAATATAGCAAAGGCAGATTTAGTGGACTAGAAACTAAATTTCAGGGGGAAAGAGTGCCTATAAAAAATGTTTTTATGTTATTTAGCCAAGATTAGGAATAGATGTTGGGTTTTGTCAAATGAAGGGATTTCACTTTTTAGTTTGATATGTTGTAATTACATTGGTTTTCAAATGCTAAACTAACCTTGTATCCTTAGGATAAACCACACTTGGTTTTGATGTATTTTCCTTTTTATATGTTGGTGGATTCAGTTTACTAAAATTTTGCTTTAAAAATTTGCATCAGTTTCCATGGGGGATGCTGGTCTGTATTTTTCTTGTATATCTGCCTGGCTTTGGTATCAGGGTAATACTGACCTTACAGAATAGGTTGGGAAATATGTCAGTATTTTTTAAAAAGAGTTTATGTAGAATTGGTATGATACCTTTCTTAAATGTTTGTAGAATTCACCAGTGAAACCCTCTAGGCCTGTAGTTTTTGATGTGGGAAGGTTTTTAACAACAAATTTGATTTCTTTAATAGATCTGGAGAAATTCAGATTTTGTATTTTTTGAGTAGGCTCTAATAGTTTCATCTTTCAAGGAATTTGTCCATTTCATCTAAGTTGTTGAATTTATTGGCATACAATTAATTGTAATATTTTCTTATCCTTTTTAAGATCGGTAGACTCTGTAGTGATGTTAACTCGCTCACTATTGGTATTAGTAATTTGGGTTGTTTTTTTCCTGGGAAGTTCATCTTGGTTTTCTTTCTTTAATTGAAGGACAGTTGACAAACAATATTGCTTTCAGACGTACAAGGTAGTGATTAGACATTTACATACATTACAGAATGATTGCCATGATAAGTATAATCATCTGGCACTATACAAAGATAATATTTTCTACTATATTTCCTGTTTTCAATCCCTGTGACTTATCTTCAACTGGAAGTTTGTACCCTTTGATCCCCTTTACCAATTTTACCTATCCCCTACACCCTTCCTTCTGGCAACCATGAGTTTGTTCTCTGTATTTAGGACTTTTGTTTGTTCATATGTTTTGCTTTTTTAGTTTCCACATAGGAGTAAAATCATGTGGTATTTGTTCCTCTGACTTGTTCACTAGCGTAATGTCCTGTAGGTCCGTCCATGTTGTTGCAAATGGCAAGGTATCATTCTTTTTTATGACTAATATTTTATCGTGTGTGTGTCCGTCCCAAATCTTTAACCATTCATCTATCAATGGTTATTAGGTTGCTTCCATATCTTTTGGCTATTGTAAATAATGCTACAGTGAACATAGGGGTACATAAACCTTTTTTTTTTTCTTTTTTTTTGGGGGGGGGACCCTGCTCTTCCACCATCTTGCCCCTCCTCCTTTTTTTTTTTTTAAGTAGACTTCATGACCAGCATGGAGCCCAACTCCAGACTTGAACTCATGTCCCTGAGATCAGGACCTGAGCTAAGGTACACCTAAGTGGCTCAGCAGTTGAACACCTGCCTTTGGCCCAGGGTGTGATTCTGTAGTCCTGGGATCTAGTCCCACATCGGGCTCCCTGCATGGAGCCTGCTTCTCCCCCTGCCTGTTTCTTTGTCTCTCTTTCTGTGTGTCATTCATAAATAAATAAATAAATAAGTAAATAAATAAATAAATAAATAAATAAATAAATAAATAAATCCTTTAAAAAAGGACCTGAAATAAATAAATAAATAAATAGATAAATAAATAAATAAATAAATAAATCCTTAAAAAAAAAAAAAAGGACCTGAGCTAAAATCAAGAGTTGGATGCTTAACCAACTGAACCACCCAGGCACCCCATAAATATATCTTTTAGAATTAGTGGTTTCATTTTCTTTGGGTAAATACTCAGAAGTAGATATGCTGGATCATATGGTATTTCTATTTTTAACTTTTTGAGGAACTGTTCTGTACTGTTTTCCACAGTGGCTGTACTAATTTACATTCCTGTCAGTGGTGTACATCAGTCTCTTTATATGCTTGTCAACACTTGATATTTCTTATCTTTTTGATACTGGCTATTCTGAAAGGTATGAGGTGATCTCTCATTATGGTTTTGACTTGTGTTGCATTTCCCTGATGATTAGTGATGTTGAGCATCCATTTTGAGTTTACTTTTGTATATGATGTAAGAAAGTGGCCCGGTTCCATTCTTTTGCATGTAAATGTCCAGTTTTCCCAACTAATTTGTTGAAGAAACTGTTTTCTCCCCATTGTATTATATTCTTGCTTCCTTTGTCATATATTAATTGACCATGTAATCATGGGTTTATTTCTGGGCTATTTTGTTC